CCCCAAAACCCCAAAACCCCACAATAATGAAATTAAGATTATTTTCATGAATTTAACATGAAAAATCATATATATTAATTGATCAGCTTTTTTGAGAATTTTTTGTTGATTTAAAGTCTTTTGTGGGTAGTGATTTGATCTCATCCATTTTTTTAGGTTGCTTTTTAGAATCCTAAACAGTAAATACCTTCACTAGTTCAGTTACTGCGCTTTCTCCAAATCTCTACAAATCTTGAATTAGTTTCTCCTTTTGATCTTTTTCTAGATTATTGTAGAGATCTTTTCTAACTATTTGCAGTTCATATTTTTTCTTGATGAGTTCTTTTTCTAAGTTATCAATTTTAGCAATCATTGCCTCATTAACATTATAACCCTAAACTGTTTTCAAACTAAGCTTAGATTCATCTAAGAAGCTTGAACCTATAGTTTATTTGGATAATTATCTTCTGGATTTAGTTGTCGAGACTGGAGTTTAAAACTTCTGCTTATCCTTTATATTCAGTTCCTTGAATAGCTGTCTAAGATTGTCGTCCATGATTTAATTTTTGTTCTGTTGACAATTCAAGATCAGGGTGTTCATTATCCTTTTGAATGCTAGATCAAGATTTTATGTTTTTATTTTTTAATCAGTATAGTCTAGAACGGCTTGATCAATTTTCCTTTTTACAATTTCAATATCATTGTCAAACTACTTAACTTTTTTTTCATAATTTTATTTTATCTCTTCTGTATTTTCAACTCCTGCCATAAGGAAATTTACTTCATTCTCAACATTCCTTGTTTAAATTTTCATATTTTCTAAGTTATCTTTTATACTTGGTAAATCTCTGCGTATCCTGGCATTTTCATTCTTAAGTGCTTCAAATTGAGTTTTAGGAACAACTTCTCTATAGGCATTCATAATTGACTCATCAATATTAGATGAAGCAGTTTCATGCTATTACTGGTCATCTTAGAAGTGCTCTTAGGCTTATTTCATCAAATCTAAGAAACCCATTCCCCCTCCATTACCAATAGTCGAGTTCATTTATGATTCAGATAGTGAATTTGTGTTATGTTTTGATTTTAAATTATTTTACTGCATTGATTCTTACACCTCTGGAACTGTTTAATGATTTGAAAGTAAATGCTTTGTGTCTTACTGTTCTATTTGAAAGTAATGGATAGACTTTGTTGTATTAGAGCCATGCTAGACCTTACCTTATAGGTTATTTTTATTGCTTTTCATCCTATAGGTTGATATCTCTTTTGATTCCTCATTTATTTAAGAAAAATGTTCTTAACTGAAAATGTCTTAGTCAGGCTTAGGAAATTCAATACTTATATCAATATCACCTGCACTAACTCTTTTGTTTGCAGATTTTTGCGAGAAAAACTATTAGTCAGATGCTTGTCTCGAAACAGGAATAATATCCTCATTAGTTGATCTTCTATCATAATGGTATTAATGCTTTTCCTAGATTTGCATAGGAGAGGTAACAAGTTTGCTTGCCTATTCTTAAGGAGAAAGCATTTAAAATCTGCCTGCTCGAAGTTATTTCATTTTATTATTTCATCAATATTATTTAAAATTCGATTTTATTTTACGGGGTTTTGGGGTTTTGGGGTTTTGGGG